AATACACGACGAATATAGAATTTAGTTTGTCGTTAAGTAAATACCCACTGCAACTACTCTCTCTCTCTCTCTCTCTCTCTCTCTCTCTCTAATTGGTCTCAGGGATGCTGCTTGTGTTATGTTGATATCTTAGGTGATCACAACATAATATCTTGACCTCGACAGGTAGGGGTGTTTTTGCTGAAAATGGTTTAAAAAGGTCATGAGAATTGGGTCTTCTTTCAAATCTTAGGGTGTTTCGTTGCGTGAAAAGCCCGAGATCGTGCTTTCCTCACTATAGTATGTTTTCTTATTGATTTGCAAGAAAATGCCCGCCCTCTGGGTGTGCTATTTTATGATGTCCCCGGAGCAGTGGTTACCACAGTAAATGCTTCATTTTCTGCAGTGGGCTATTTACTACAGCAATTCTCAAATGCTACCTTACTAGCCCCAAAACTGGCCATACATTCATACTCCAAACTTTTCAGTGATAAACAAATCATTTGCAACGTTTTGAACTTTGTCCATCGTACGTACTTAACCTGCTCTCTCTCAATTCTCTCCTTTGCATCATGTACGAAAATTTGAATATAGATCTATGGAAGGTAAGAAATTTTCATAAGGTGATTCGGAGAATGTTATCAAATGGTGGACGAATTTAGCAAACCAGCACCACGGAGGTTTACACCATTGTTAACGAGATTGTTGATATTTTGAACAGGTGCAAGACAACCAAGAACTTTTTAGTGTTTTTGATATTATTTTTTTCTTTTTGTATATCTTATTGTTTCAAAATTCACCGATCTGGATTAGGAATAAGTGGGCAAGTCACTTAAGGACCTAAGTGATTTGGATTGCCCGAATTGCTTGGCTCTCACTCATTTTATTTTTTTAATTTTTTAGTTTTTTATTAATATATTCTTTGGAGAAATGGTTTGGTTTGCCGATCCAAATCACATGTCCATTGATCCAAACCTGATTTCTATAAGGCCATCCACTCCAGCTTTTGAAACACTAGATAGTTCAAACCGGTAAATTTGATGCAAATTGCTGAAAAAGAAATCAAAATTACGATTCAGAAAAAAAAAAGTGTAAATTATCATGGGTTAAGGCTGTAGGTCCTTGATTCTCAACACCTCACCCAAACATGTAACATAAATCATCAGGGGTAATCAGAGTCCCATGTGATGGCTTATCCCAGATGTGCATGTGGATAGATAGGGTTGCCACATGAGTTGAGGCTTGCGTTGATGGAAAGATCAATACCTTTTTCTTGTGTAGGGAACAAGAGGGGCAAGTGCGATGGAGGGCCACTTTTTTAACATAAATTATTCCGCGATGTATGATTGAATGCCTTTTATAGTCTCTATCATGCCCTGTCCACTCTCTCTCATATGTCCTAGGTCCCCCCCCCCCCTCCTCTCTCTCT